CTCTAAGGGGTACATTCCCTTATTCAAATACATCCCCAACCGTGCGGCCCGAACAGTTACGAAACTGTTCCCGCCAAAGCCATCCTGCCTGCAGCTGCCCGATGTCGTCTGCTCCGACGGTCCAGATGTGCTGTAACTGTCTGACGCTTCGAGTCAATTCCAACCGTCTGACTCTTCGCGTTCATTCTCGATACTGCGTGCTTCTCTTGCTGCGGTGAGGAGTGCACAGTAACAATCAAATATTACTATTCGTAACACCCCCCTTCACTCCTGGCCGTAGCTCGACTTGACCTGCTTGACCACGCCGCTGAGTTCGGAGCAGTGTTGATACTGCTGGCGTGGCAGTCGCTTCGTGAGGAAGTCGGCTGCCATGTCACCGGTCGGGCAGTAGGTCAAGTTGACCTTGCCCTTGTCCACTTCGTCCTTCACGAAGAAATACCGCAGCGCGATGTGCTTGGTGCGGTTGACGAAACCAGGCTTGTTCGCGATGCGAATCGCGCTCTGGTTGTCGCAGTGAAGACGAAATGTGGGCGAAGCTGGAATTTTCGCCTCTTGCAGGAGTTCCTGCAGGTAGAGGCCTTCGCGAACTGCTGCGGTTGCTGCGATGAATTCCGCTTCGGCTGACGACAGGGCTTCCAGCTCCTGTTTCTGCGAGTTCCAGGAGATTGGTCCCGTTGGCTCGAGTCGGAACAGGAAGCTGTCAGAATCCCAGCCACTAACCACTGGGATAAAAGGGCTTGTTTGTGTAGCGGGTGAGTGCGCCCATAACCCCCCAGGCCGCCGTGCCTGTAACCCTTCCCTAGGATCAATCGGGGATCACCAGTAGACCTCTGACACCCCCCCGCACTGGGATGCCCGAGGTGCACACACCGGGATTCGAACCCGAGACCTTCGCTCTGATACCATGTCAGAATCCCAGCCACTAACCACTGGGATAAAAGGGCTTGTTTGTGTAGCGGGTGAGTGCGCCCATAACCCCCCAGGCCGCCGTGCCTGTAACCCTTCCCTAGGATCAATCGGGGATCACCAGTGGACCTCTGACAGAAGCCAGTCCTGGACCGTCGATTATCGGGGTCTGCTGCGTGATCGGCGTCCACGTAGCCGACGAGGTTGAAGGATGGGGTTGGTGCAGTTGAGTAGCACAGCCCAATCTTGGGCGTTGAGACGAAGAATTGAAGGGCGCGCTGCAGGTCCAGGAGATTCTCAGCCGTTGGTTTGCGTGAGTACTGCGCCAGCTGACTAGCGATGTACGAGAGGTCTGGCCTGCAGGTGACAGAGGCGAAGAGAAGGCATCCCAACTGCTGCTGGTAAGTCTGAACTCCAGCAGGGGATAGGGCTTTGTTGTCGGGTTTGTGGTTCGGTCCAGGGGTTCGGTAGGGAGTTGAGAGGGGTGCAGGTGAAATGTTGAACCGCTTCCCTAACTCCTCTGCGTACTTAGCCGCTGAAAGGTGAATGGTCTCAGGCGCGTAGGAGATATTGAGGCCTAGGAACTGCTTCACCTCGTAGTTGCACGTGATGTCGACGCGCCCCGCCAAGGCCTTCTTGAATTGCTCAAGAAGCTGGTTGTTTGAGCCTGTGTAAAGAAGATCGTCGATGTAAACTGTGAGGAGAATGTATTCGCCGCGGAAATCGCGGCGGTACATTCCTGGATCGTGCGGCATCTGCTTGAACCCGATTTCAAGCAGGATATTGTGCAGGTACTGCTGCCACAGCCTTGGAGCCTGCTTGATCCCGTAGAGCGACTTGCGTGGTTGACACACGCGCGAGTCCCCTTTGCTGTAGGTGTGCGGCTGCTCCACGTAGATCACGGCGTCTACTAACGCGTACAGGAACGCGTTCTTCACGTCGATCTGGCGGAGTGGTAGGTGCCTTGCAGCTGCGATAGCGAGCAAAATCCGGACGGAAGTGTGGCGGCTAACCGGAACATCTGATCGAAGTCGATGCCATGTCTCTGATCGTAACCGCGCACCACCCAACGCGCCTTGAAGCGCTCGATCGTTCCGTCCGCTGCGGTGTTCACACGGAAGACCCACTTCCCCGAGAGGATCCTTGCGCCTTTGATTGCCGCACGGTCGACCAGCACCCAGGTGTCACGGGACTCCAACGCCTTAACCTCCGCGTCCATCGCCTCGCGCCACTCCTTGCTGTGTGGTCCAGAGAGAGCTTCGCGCGGGTTTCGAGGCTCGATGACACGTGGTGCCTTGGAGGTCGCGGTGTGAAGCCCGAGCAGTAGCAGCCCTGAGATGGTGCTGTCGTGGCGGCGTTGCGGGATGACTTCGGCACATCGTCGTCATCGCTCTCTGGCTCAGGTGGTGCTGGTGGTGATGCGCCTCTGCCGCTTCCGCCCGTTCCGTTTCCGCCTGATCCGCCCATTCTTCCTTCCGGAGAATCGTCGTCGTCGTCGTCGCTGCTGCGCCGATCTTCCCAAGTGAATTCGGCCCTGGTGTCTTGCTCCAGGAGTGCTGCAGCGGCTTCGTCTTCGGGCGTTGCGTAGCTGTGC